CCCTTGAGGGGCCGGACGGACGTCCGTCGGGAGCATAGGGCCCCGACGGGGAGCGAGAAAAAAATCCATCCCAATCTCCTCCGCCAGGCCAGGAGGTGCGGGAGCCGTAAGCGGAGACGCCACCCTCGACAGGGACATCTATTGTGCGCTTGTACGAGCCAGGACTCAAGGTCGCGCGGGCCTGCACGGCACGCGCGGATACCGTGACACGCGAAAGCCAATCAGCGTGACACTACCTCCCCCGAAGGAGGGGGGAAGCTAAGCAGCCTGCGAGAATCCGCCGGGAGCTCCCGAGACTCACTCTTTCTGTGGACGAGCGAGCCGTGAGACTTAAAGGAAGAACGAGGCCGCTGCCGACGGGTAATGCGACCCGGAGAGCCGGACTGCCGAGAGCTGTGGGAAAGAGAATGTCGTGAGGACCAGGACATCGAGGGTGAGGCGAGTGTTGCGCGTATAAAGCTGCCGACCGGGGTACGTTGCCGGGTGGATCGCACGTAAGCAAGCTCGCATCGCGAAAATAGACCGACGTAATGGCCGCCGTGTAGAGCCGCGGAATCGCGAACCGCGTGCCATCCTCCCGGGCAGTGGAAAGGTTTAGTTGTCGCATTTCGAGAGTTGAGTCGAGAGAAGATCTTTAGTTGTCGCATTTGGAGAATTAGAGTCGTGTAGAGATTATCGTTTTTTTTTCCCCCCCCCCCCCCCTCCCTGGTCACAGATGAGTCATTGTAAGTTTTCGTGTTGTCGCGTATTGTCGTAAATTGTCGGATCGCGTAACAGCGCCTATTGTCACGTCGTCGTGCATCGTTGTATCGCGTAGGAACGCTTGCTATAAATGTGTTATCGAATCAGATACTGTTGCGTCGGAACGCTTATTGCCGCGTCGTGGAGCAGAGTGGACTCCCGGTTGTTGCGTCTCGGATAGAGTCAGTTTCCGGAATTCGCGCGGCCGAGCAGAGTCGCGCCGCATAGAGACGCTTGTTGTAACCGCGCTGCACTTTCGCCGTGCTGGCGTTGCGTGTTGGGAGGCTGGTGATACAGTGGGTACGAGTTCTTAACGGTTGAGAAGGGCGTTGGACACCGTCGCGGGGAACTGGGGGGCTCGTGCTGTAGCGTATGACCGGCGTTCGGCGTTCGAGATAAGTTGGCGACTCGGTGCGAGTACCGAGAGTATAGAGTAGCGCAAAGGAGCGAAGCTCCGGAGATCACTTGTAATTAAGTCACCGATGTCATTTGTCTTACTTTATCGTCTTTTTCCAAATATACTTGTTTTTATTATTACAACCTCGCGTATGTTATTCTTGTAGCCTATCTCTCTCGCCCTCCGACAAATTTTCCACACCTCTTGCGACCCACCCCTGCCGTCGCGAATTGGTTACGGGCGAAAATAAGGAGATTTCGGAAATCTCTCTTGTGCCTGGGGCCCAACTTAGTAATAAGAATTACAATCTTGGCCGAAAAACCGCCTGGCTGTCGCAAAATTCAGTTACCGAGAGAGAGGAGATACTTTTGCGTACGAGGAGTAGGAAGAATGCGCGACGAAGTTGTGCCGTTGCTCGCGAGTACGGTTACAGTACGTATAAACGTATGTATAAACGTATGTGTGAACGTATGTACGTATAAACGTATGTATGAACGTATGTATGTATATATAAACGTGTATATAAACGTATGAACAAACGTATGTACGTATAAACATATATAAACGTATGTATAAACGTAAGTATGAAAGTATGTGTGAACGTATGTACGTATAAACGTATGTATGTATAATATGTACGTACGTATGTATGAACGTGTGTATGAACGTATTAGAGGTGGAAAATTATCGATAGTGGTTACTATCGATTATTCGATATTTTTAAAAGTAAAATATCGATATATCGATAATACTATCGGAATTATTACATTGTAGGCTAAAACCGCCAAAAACTTAAATAAATTCCATTGAATTTTATACATTATCAATTATGTGTATATTTAATATATGTATTTATATCAATTGTATAATAAGTTAAAATAAAATCACTGACATGAGTATACAGAATTAATAATAAAATTTATTTTTTTAAATATACAATATAAAATGCATATGAAATAAAACAAACAATATCATTCGATACCTACAAAGACTTCTGGGAAACAAAACATAAATATCATATTTTACTTTAAAAAAAATAGGAACATTTTACTTATAATATAAAATATTTTACTTATTTTTTTACTTTAGAACTGAAAGTAGATAGGAACATTTTACTCTTATTTTACTTATTTTTTTACTTTAGAACTGAATGAAATCGTTTCCATTAAGCGCGTCACGCGTCGCGTCATGAAAGAGAGAAAGAGATAAGATTATATAAAAAACATATGAAAGGGGAATTGCTTATGCTACTCATATACCAAACATGCTTGCACTGAAAATCCGATTTCGTATTGGATAAAATATCCTGCAAAAGAACTTCGAAAGATAGCTGAACGTTACATTTGCGTCCCAGGTACCTCAGTTCCGTCCGAAAGGATATTTTCTAAAGCAGGACAAATAATTTCAGCAAAACGTTCAAATTTAAAGCCTACCACTGTAAACGCGATAATATTTCTAAATCAAAATGCATGGTTAATTGAAGAATAGGAATACCCATATACCAAACGTGAAGCCAACATCTGTGCGCATTGCGCATTGCGAACATATAATATTCTATACCTTACTCTCTCGCACAGATGTTGGCTTCACGTTTGGTATATGGGTATTCCTATTCTTCAATTAACCATGCATTTTGATTTAGAAATATTATCGCGTTTACAGTGGTAGGCTTTAAATTTGAACGTTTTGCTGAAATTATTTGTCCTGCTTTAGAAAATATCCTTTCGGACGGAACTGAGGTACCTGGGACGCAAATGTAACGTTCAGCTATCTTTCGAAGTTCTTTTGCAGGATATTTTATCCAATACGAAATCGGATTTTCAGTGCAAGCATGGGCAATTCCAAATATTGACGAGTTGTTACAATACTGTCTGCCATCGCATTTGAGGTATTTGTTACTTGAGAAATGCGCTGGGATAAAAAATCCATCAATCCAACATTTGTCGTTGCTTTAGTTGACATTGGCTCACTCGATATTGATGAAGCTGATAAAGGTGACAATACTGACAATGTCTGAGAAGTAGATGGTTCACTTTCCAAATGCAATTGTTTTTCTTTTCTGACTAGTTGAGCCACTTCTTGTTGAACAATTTGTTGAGCACTATTCGCATTTTCTATATTACGAAATGCATATTTCTTTAATCTTGGATCTAATAATGTCGCAACTTTAGGAATAGTTCTTTGTTCATATATAAAGAGTCGTTTTATCATAGATAATTTTAATTTTGTACATAGTTGTTTCCCAATATCACTGGTAAGTGAATGCTCTATTTCAGTTAAATTATTATGTAGTCCTACCACCAAAGGGATAATTAGCGATACCGTTACATATTTCTGTCCAGAAATTTGATTTTTCGCAGTCTCAAAAAGTTGAAGCACCTTTACCATTTCATTTAACTCAATAAAGTCATTAAAGTTTAGTAATTCTGGCGCTTTAGGCAATTTCGACAGAGTTACAATTAAACAGTCTTCTGTGTTTAAAACAATCAGTCGTTTAATCATGTATAGAACGCTATTCCACCTTGTTGCAACCTCTTGCAATGGTTTTAATTCTTTCAAATTTCTTCTGTATTGCTCTTCTCGTAATTTATCCATTGCAACAGTACTTTTTTTAAAATATCTCACAATTTGTCTACATTTCTGTAAAAGAAATTCGATATCAGTTTTATTTTCTTGTGTAGCTAACCCATCATTTACTGTTAGATTTAAAGTGTGAGCAAAGCAAGGTAAATGTCTTATTTTAAGCAGATTACAAGCATTAATCATATTTTGAGCATTGTCAGTAACGATGCATTGTACTTTATCTTTCAGATGCCATTTTTCAATAACTTTCTGAAAAAGTAATATTAATTTAGTATATCACTAATATTATTATTAATTATCTTTCTTTACCTCAATATGCTCCTTAATATGCTGAGCTGTATGATTACCCTCTATTTGAATTGTCTCTAGTACCACAGTTTTAAGATCTCCATGTAAAACAAAATGGCAAGTGATTGTGATATAGCCCTCTCCTACTATAGATGACCATAAATCTGTAGTAAATGATATATATTCTGTTTGGTTAAGAATATCTTGTAGCTTGGTATTAACTTCGATTAACAAAGATTGCAGTATCTTATTTCGCAATGTTGTTTTATTCGGCAACTTGTATTTCGGATCTAATGTATGAATTAGAGCCTGAAATACTTTGTCATTCACAATCGAAAATGGCTGCAAATCCTTTGCAATCATGAATGCTACTAGTTTGTCCAAGTTTTGTTTTTTTGCGTCAGTCTCGTTATATAATAAACTTTTCTTAGAAACATATGAAGTAATTGTTTTCTGCACCTTTATTTTCTTTGTTTCTGCTGCTGGAGTTGTGCTTATATCCGATTCGTTAGAAGAATCATTTCTATCTTTTAATTCTTCTGCATGATACCTTTTCAAATGATTATGTAAATTTGTTGTGTTCCCACTTGTTTTGTATTCTTTATTACAAAACGAACAAATGGCGAATTGATTGCGCTGCTTTTCAAAATAATTCCATATTATGGATTTTGTTTTTGTCCTTTTACTCATTTTTAATCTAAAATACCAAAACATTTTAAACATAACCTGCTCATCTTAAGCACATCGAATGTGTATGTAAAGCATACTGAGATCATACAAAATTTTATTAAATTAAAAATTATTTATTTACTTACTTTATTAAAATAATATAAAAATGTTAAACAAATTATCATTTGGTTATTTTACATTTAGGTATGTATGTGTATCTGCTCTACATATCGGCCCGTATTCAGAACGCGCTTTTATCTCTGAAATTCTATAGTATGTGTGACGTAAACTATAGCATGTTAGAGCGCTAACATCGTTGTAAGCGTTCTGAATACGGGCCATTAACTCAACGCACCCTACAGAGTTTCGGTTACTGTAGTTACTAGTAGAGTCCCTAGAGTTTATGCTAGTGATCCTAGGATCTCTATTTTCTAGATGCTTGCGCAACTATCGTAAAATATCGATAGTAAAAAGAAACTATCGATATATCGAATTAAGGTTAAGCCTATCGATTTATCGATAGTCGCTATCGATAATTTTCCACCTCTAGAACGTATGTATAAACGTATGTATAAAGGTATGTATAAACTCATGACAAAGAAAATACGTAGAAAGACGCGATACAACGAGTTGCGACGTTTGAAATTCTTGGAAAGATGGGGACGGCCTGCCTTTTCTTCGATTTTAGAAGTAACACCATATACGAAATTTCACAATTTACGAGAATGCGATCAGTCATGCGATACCCGCTTGTACGAAAGGTCCAGCGGAAGCAGCAGCAGCAGCAGCAGCAGCAGCGGCAGCAGCGGCAGCAGCAGCAGCAGCAATGTACTCCGCTGTAGGAAGCAACAAACGAAAAAATACGTTCCATTTCAGAATAATGATGAAACTCATTTACGAAAAGATGTGCCAAGTAAGTTTAAGAATCCCCTATTTTTATACTTTTTCAAATTAACTATTTAATTAATCATTTAATATTTCTTTTATATTTTTCTATAGCGCGCCCGTGCATCGTGCGGTTCGCATACTTGGCAGGAAATACGCATTGACACGTAAAGGATACAAATTTCTTGAAATTGGTATCAACGTTGGCCCACCGAGCTACGTGGAGTTTGCGATAGGAGATAATCGTGGAAATGAATTAATACTATTTATCGAAAAATGGAAAGGACTCTATGAATAACGTTGGAACATTCAAAACTGCCTTTGGAATCACCACAAGGGCAATTCTATTAACGTTGGACCGCTGACTGTGCGATTCAGTACGATTGAAAACGCTAAAATTGTATGCTTGGAATCATCCGACGTATGTTTAATGATGACTGAATCAACAATATTGTTTATGTTCTACTTAGATAAATGAATTGAAATAGCTATCGATCAATTGGTTGGTATCGTCGAGAAAGTCGATACAAAGTTTACACGATTCTCAAATATCGCATCCACTGTAACGAATGCTAAAGATATACCAAATGTAATATGCGCTAGCGATTACTTTGATAAAAATCAGCTCCTCGACTGCAAACTGTTAGCTGTAGTTTTTTTGTGCCTAAGAAAAAAATTATGTAAAAGAAATACAAATAAAGAAATTGTTAATCTAAAAAATTATGATGTAATTTCTTCACACATACATATGTACCTCACACACATGCAGGGTCATCGAAAAGAATCGGACCACTCTAATGTCTTCAGTTAGAATGCATTTTGGAAAAAATGTCCAATAGCAAAGTTGTATGGTTTCAAGCGAGGAGTAAGATGATGACCTTGACTTTGATCTTGACCATGTCCTTTAAGGTCATTTTAAGGTTAACCTTATTTTTTTAAATGGAACTCCCTACATTTTATTGCATATTTTTATAGCTTATCTCGACAGCTTTCCAAAACACTATAATAAAACATTTTTTCATTAAGTATTTTTTTAGTTATAAAGGTTTGAAATTAACAATTTGTTAAGTGGCGTGTAATTCCGGCCAGTTAAGGCAAGAGTGGCGTGTGGGTCCGGCCAGTTAAGGCAAGAGTGAAGTGTGGGTCCGGCCAGTTAAGGCAAGAGTGCCGTGTGTGTGTCCGGCCAGTTAAGGCAAGAGTGGCGTGTAGGTCCGGCCAGTTAAGGCAAAAGTGGCGTGTGGGTCCGGCCAGTTAAAGCGAATTTCATTCCAATTTGTCAGCTTGGGCAAAATATTCAATTGTATCAAACAATTCACAACAAATGTTCAAATTGTTGCCCTTCAACAGCCTGGCAATGGGCCAATCTGTTATAAACAGCTGAAACCGCATTCCGGTACGTTTCCGGTGGTATTAGTTCTATCTCTCGAGTTATTCTCCCTCTTAAATCATCTAAATTTTGCGGCTTGGTTGCATACACTTTACTTTTCAAGTAACCCCACAAAAAAAAGTCAAGTGGGGTCAAGTTCGGAGACCGAGGTGGCCACTCAATATGACCTCTTCGCCCTATCCACCTGTCCTGAAAGACCTCATTCAAATGTTGACGGACAATGACACCATAATGAGGTGGAGCTCCATCCCGTTGGAATTAAATTTCATCCATATTTCCACCAGTCTCGAATAGCTGGAACAATTTGTTCGCGAAGCATGACTGTGTATACCTGTGCTGTCAAATTACCTTCAATGAAGAAAGGGCCAACTGGTCTACCATCAAGAATACCAGCCCATACGTTAACTTTTTGTGGATATTGGGTATGATTGTCTCTTTTCCAATGAGGATTAACGTCACTCCAGTACCTACAATTGTGTATATTTACATTCACAGTCAGTTCAAATGTTGCCTCATCAGAGAAAACAATATTATTAAGTAATAGAGGATCGTCGACAATTATCTCCATCATAAGATCACAAAATTCGATGCGTCTATCAAAATCATCTTCGGACAACTCTTAGCACAAATGGAGTTTGTATGGATGCCATTTATTCAATTTCAAAATTTTACTGACAAATGCATGACCGATTTGGTGTTCTTGTGCAACGCGATTGATGGAAATATGGGGATTTTCAACGAAAGATTGTAAAACATCTAATGCCTTATCATTATTTGTTGCTGTTTTACGTCTACCAGATCTTGAGCGACTTTTAACGCTACCAATGTCCTCGAAACGTTGAATAGTACGGATTATAGCAAAGAGATGAAAATGTAGATGCAGGAAATCTGGATTGCTGAACATTATTGTTTCGAGAAATGTATCCTTATTATAATTAATTATGTAACAATTTAAATTTTCTTACCTAGCGTTGATTTAAGATAAATTTTTTTATATCCGTGTACAACTAAATTTAAATAAATACAATTAAAAGAAGGGCAACAAGCCAAAACAATAACTTTAATATTCAAGACAGACATATGTCAAAGGGAAGAAACGACAGAATACTCATTTCATATACAGCTCTCTTGTTTCTTCTCGATCATTTTAAGCAAGATTTCTCAGAACGTTTTGGAACAATAAATCATCTTTCGACTCTTTTGCTATTATTGCAAAATGCATTGTAAAAAATACGTCATAAGAAAAAAAGATGTACTTTTACGATCGCGTGGTCCGCGGCGGCGACAGCGGAGGCGACCGGGAACCTTCCCCGCGCCTACGAATAACCTCCGCGCCCTTCTAGCCCCATGGGTTAGAACTCGCCTTGCTTAGCTACTCTCAATCGATTAATTGTGAAACTTGGTTGTATTTAGGTATTTAAAATAATTAATAAATATTGTTTCTATAGAAAAATTACATTATGCTATATCTTGGTCGAAAAAGGGTTGGAGCATATACCCTTTGTAACACTTTTCGTTCTATAATTATTTGTTTTTGTATTGTTTTTTTGTTCATGGCAATATTTTCTTTTTTTGTGATGATTTTTGTTGTCTTGTACGTGACTGCAGTCCCTAAAATCTGTGATGTCTTATTGCCATTCCTCATGACGTCATACCCCCGCTACCAAAGAATCCCCGCGCTCCGTTCCCCTCGCCAACGAGTATCCCCTGCACCCCGCGCTCCCCTCTAGCCCCGCGGGTTAGAATCCGTGTACTATTCCAACTAGTAAACATTGTTTATTTCTTTTATGTAACATTTACTTATTATATTTTGAGGTCTAGCAGCGCGCTAAGTTTTTTCACATAAAAAATTTTATTTTAATAAGATTTTGTTATTTCGTGATGCTTCGTCTTTAATTTTTTGCGATTAAATGTTGTATTCTATTGCAAATATATAAAAGACTCTTGAATAGAAAGATAAAGGTACGTATCATTTTGTCTCGTTAATTAAATATTATATGTTGCAATAAAATATATTTTTTTTCCGTAATTTACAAAATACAATAGTATATGTTATATATGTATTAGAAATTATATATTCTTTTTGCCATTTTTGCGTAATTTAAAGATTTTATTTCATTTTTTTTGAATGCATGCATACGTTCTACTGAGGGGTAATTTATAATGAAAAATTAACAATATTACTACTTGAATTATATTATTTATGTAACGGTTTTTTCTTAGTTTATGTAAAGTACAGTTTTTTATGGAAGGTACATGCACACATGGCGCCTTTTTTTACCTTTTCTTAAAAAGGTAATTTTTTTAAGTACTTTTATTACTTTAATTTCAAGTATTGTTGTATTTACAAATATAAGTAATATTATAAAATAAGTAATTATAAGGTTCCGTATGTATAAAACAATATGACAATTATAAAGGGCATTGAATCAATATTTAAACAAATTTAATTAAATTAGAATCTTAAAGTTAACAAACGTTCGACTCCGATCGGATCATTTTCATGTTACAAAGGTAAATCATAAATAAAAGTACAACTATACAATGTTAAATAAATGAAAAAACCACAACTATAACAATTCGTTAAATTGCCAGCAAATTCTTGTCTTTACCATATAAAAAATATCCTTAATCTTTAATTACCATTACAACATCTTAAATAAAAATAAATATAATTAAATAATAACATTTCATAAAATCGCATGCGCGTAATCTTATCGTTGAAATAAAAAGCGTAAGTTGTCCATTTGATATTTTAATCTAAGTTGCGAATGATCTGAGAAAGAATAATTCAAAACTTAAGACCTAAGGTTATATATAAAGAATATTGTCTGTAATGTGTAACACAAAGTCATTTACCTTGTCGATGAAATATAATTACACAATAATGTGTCAGTGAAACATAAAAAAATCCAATAATGCGTCAGTGAAATGTAAAAAATCCAGAAATGTGTTATAATTTTGTATTGTAACTACATGTTGTAACTTTAAAATATTTTGCACTGAAATATTTACACAACACACTCTTGATCAAATCGAATAATGTAATATAACGGCAGAATGTCAGGAGAGGACAAGAAACCGTGACAAAATATTAATAATGAGTAATATTAATAACAATTCCTATGCAACATAATAATACAGTTATTTTATACTCCCTTTCAAATGATATTTACTTTTAGGTTCAAAAATCTAATTAATCTTGTATATGAATACATGCAAAATTAATGCACGTTTCTACAATATTAATAATGTAGATTAATCTTAATTGTGGTTTAACGTACTTTTTATCTTTTTTTAATTCAAAGAATTAAAAAAGTTAGAGTTCACTATACCAAAAATTAAAGTTTTGGTGATTTAAACTCCGATAATAACTTTATTACTACGCGTTCAGTAAAGGTGTTTTTTACTGCGATGAACAATGTCCTCAACTGTATCGAAAATTTATTCGCGGTTGTCTATAATGAAAGTTCACTTCGTACCAGATTTATAATCAACTTCTTTCTGCATGTCCATTTAAAATATAATTAAGGTGACTGTAACGTCCGGCGCGCTATACTATAGCACTCCGGCCGTCTACCAAGCGAACGC